TTCTTCCAGGGAAGATTGCTACAGGAAAATAAAACTAAAATAAGAAAAAAATGAAACTTTACTTAACCCAAAAACAAGCGTAAAGTATAATCAAACAGATCTGAGGAACTTTGTTCACTGCCTCACAAATTCTATTCAGTAAGTCTCTTTTCCTAGCCCCCACTTAGGGGTCAAATAGCAGAGTAGACTAGACTCTCTAACCTTAGATGGAAATAAATCTGAGAGAGAGAAAATTCTTAATTCCAAACAGTGGAGAAAGTAACGGGAAACTACTCCACTATCTTTCCCCAAAAAGACTATTCCACTATCCTTCGCAAAAAAAAAACACTACTCCGCTATCTTTCCCAAAAAAAGACTATTCCACGATCCTCCCCCAAAAAGACAACAATGCATGTAACAAGGATTTAATATTAGTCTTATATGAACAACAAAAGTCACGACTGAAGAAAATATTTTAAAAATGCTCGTTTATCATACGTTAAAAAAATTGCATCTGCTGAACGATTACTAGAATATGGTTATTTAACCAAAAAAACAGAAATATATATATATATATATATATATATATATATATATATATATATATATTTATTTTTGAAATATCATGTTACTATTAGAGAAAAAGTGGGGGAAACTTACAGAATGTCAAAATGAGTAGTACCTGGCACATTTATAAATCTACCATTCGCCCGTGCTTTGAATACTGCTAGCATATCTGGTTTGGTGTTACTACGGTATATCTCAAGTTTCTTGAGAAATTTGAAATAAGGGTCTGTAATATTATCGGCTCTGACCTGGCATCTCGACTTAAGTCATTTTCTTATCATGAGTAGCATGATCTCCCTCTGTCTTTTCTACAAATATTTTCATGATAATTGTTCTGGTGATCTTTCCTTCTCGGTGCCTCAGATGCATGAATTTAAACGTGATACTAGATTGACAATTAGGTCTCACCTTTTTACTGTTGAACAAGCTAGATACAATTCTAATGGCTTGAATTAAAAATTGTTGTTCTTTAACGAAAAAATTTCGAATCTGAAAGATTTAGAGTTATTCTGCAACGAGGAATACCACAAAACATCGAAAAAGACATGCAAATCGTAATAGTAACATTAGTTGTTTCCTTATAAGGAAACATTAGTTATTGTTTGACAGAGCAACCAGTGCCACTGTTGCTTGAAATTTTTAAGATAATTCTATTAAAAACACTTCTCAGATAAATAAGTTACATAACTCCATTAACGTTTATCGATCTTTCTAGAATTAATGGAGGTTTCCTTTCTAACCTTTTGTTCGAAGTAGTGTGGAACGTCAATATTTTCATTATGTAATTATTTTCCGTTCGACCTACATGTGATGCCCATCTTAGCTGTTGATGCTGTTGAAAGTTCTCAAGTGATGCTGATTCTGTTATTTGATTCAGCTTTTTTCTTTGGGATTCTGTAGCGCCAGTCGAAGAAGGATGGTCATCGTTAAAGATGGACTATCATTCGCTCAAAGCCATTCTTAACCACTGATCTGAGAAAGCAGACAGTTTAGATATTTCTGAACGATTGTGACGAGATGCATAACATACATATTAAAGGCCGATCTGACGAGGTTTTTTAAGAACATAAATCGATGTTTTGTTTATACAGGGTGTCCATAAAGTTCGTGTGCACTTTAAAAAATTTATAATTTTATTTCTATTTGCGATAGAAATAATTTGTAAAAAGGATTAGAAAGAAGTAAATCTATATTTTTTAAGGTTTTATTGAAATTTTATTTAAATTTCCACATGTCCTCCATCATTAGCAATACAAAGGGTAATACGATTTTGCAGTTCACGGAAAACATTTACCAACTGATTTACGGTAATGCCTGAAATCACATTAGTTATTTTAGCTATACTTAAAACTAGGTACATGAAACTTTATAACATTTTTACAGATTATTTCTATCGCAGATACAAATAAAGTTATAAATTTTTTAAAGTGCACACGAACTTTATGGACACCCTGTATTTTCGTTGTGTAGCAATTTGCGGTGTTCCGCAAAACTACACCTAAACCCATCGAGGGCTACAGAAAGCGTTTATTATCCTTTGTTGGCTTCAGCAGAGACACTGTTATTTGAAGAGGATTGACTACTTGTCAAAAATCCATTCTAATATGATGTTAGAGAAAGAAAAAAATTGATATAATATTATTTATCCTCTACGTGTTATCAGTTGGCGTTAATATTTGAATAGATAGCTAATAAGAAAGAAATGATTTACAAATGTTAAATATGCAAAAGTCCTCAAAGGAATCCTAAATTATTTTTTTTAAGTTCACCGAATACAAGGCCCAAGGATCACCCAAGGTAGAGTGTTACTGTGCTGAGTTTATTAGCGTAAGAAAGGCAAGATAATAGAAAATTTTAACAGCTAATTCCTTTCTTCAAGAGATCAAGTTTTAATTTAGTGAATAAAATTTCAGAGTACAGGCGGAGAATTTCCTTATCAAATTTTAAGAGCTTAATTTAACCTACAAAATAAAGCTTGGGTTAAAATTTTAGTTAGTTTCAATATGTTATTTAAAAACTGTAGCCTGTAGTTATTATGCAGATTAAACTATTATCCGGAATCCCGCATATCCGGAATGCCTCATATCCGGAATCCCGCATATCCGGACATGATTTTGATGTATATATTTGAACTATTTGGGTTATATGTAACTGATTTGAAATTTCTGTTTTCCAGGAAATTTACTTTGAATAATTGCTTATGCTTATTTCACCCTAATGGCTTCTATTGGTGCAAAAGATGATGGGAATAAGAGGAAAGGATGACAACGAGACACATCTGCAACAAAATGGCGATGTGATGCATGATTGTGATGAAACGTGGACTGAAATTGAAAAAGGTATTGAAAAAGTTGTCAGTTTTATGGAAAGGAAGCCAGCATTCAGCTGTGACGATTGCAATAATGCACAGAGAGTTAAAAAGTGTCTTTCAAGAACAAAAGCAAACGCGGAAAAGTTGAGAATGACATTAGAAGAGAAAGAATCATCATGCAACAGCGATTAAAAAATCCTTGTTACATTATTTGTTTTGCATACGTGGCTTACTTAATTTTAATGAATTTTCATTAACAATACATAATTTATTTCTTTTTCCTTAAAATCAATTCCGTTATATTTCAGTCACCATTAGTTAATTTTGCTTACTATAAAATATTGAAAATAAATGTTAAACCTGAATTCAGTTCTTTTATTTTAATCTAAATATAACCCCTCATATCCGGACTTTATAACCAACCCCTCATATCCGGAGGGCCTTCTTAGTCCTGTTGTCAGAGATTCTACTGTATTAGTACAGTGCCTCTGAAATCTAATAAAATCTTTTTTCTTTCTTTTTTCCGTAATATATGTTGAAGCCTGGATAATGAAAAAGATCGAACAAATGCTGAAAAACAGGAAATGAGAAAGTTATTGTGTGAGGAAATCTCCACATTAAAGATATCAAAGGAGCTTCGCAGAGATCATCTAACGATAAGGAGGGCTGTTGAAAATATAACTTGAAAACTAGAAGCAGGGGGGAAGGCTTGTCACCTCGCGTGGAACGTTAACTAAAGCGAAACAACCGTTTGATCAGCGATCATATTGGTGAACAGGCTGGAATTGAGGAAGTCTAGAAGGACAAAAGATGTGGAATACTCCGCAAATTGGGATCTATCAATATATATATATATATATATATATATATATATATATATATATATATATATATATAAGTAATCTCCTCTTATTAAAACAAATATTTTAAAGCATCGAAATTGTTCCAGGAAATACATGAAAGTTAACTTTTCAAAATTAGTTTTCACGAATAAATCCCGAGAGACACGCAAGGGACCTGATAGACAGACCAAAGGATAGATTTTATCTGATGCATATGTGCCTGCAGCTAAAAGATGTCAACAAGGAGACGGCTGTGTGATTATATGGGCTGTCATTGTAGACCAAACCATTACTGGACCATTCAAAATCAATGAAGATTCAAAATCGATGAGCAGTGCTGGACAGGATTTATTTGAACGTTACAAGTCCCAGACTTGCAGTTTCAAAGTGAAATGTGTATTTATGCACGACAATGCTCCCTCTCATGTATCTAAGCTTAAACTGTGAATTATTTGAGCATAAAAGATTTACAGGAGAGAAGATAATGGAATTGCCACTATGAAGACCTGATTTAAATCCAATCAAAAATTTATATTCAATAATGAAGATGAAATTATATGAAAATGGCAAACAATATAATAGAAAACCTAACACAGGGATCTATTTAAATTTCTGAGATGAGGTATTATATACACTATTTACATTATTCGGACTATTGTCCTCATCTTTGTTGCCATATTTATTACAACGTTTCGGCCTTTTAGTATCTCTCTATATTTCTGAGATGAGGTATTATGTACACTATTTACATTATTCGGACTATTGTCCGCATCTTTGTCGCCATATTTATTACAACGTTTCGGCCCTTCAGTATCTGTCTATATTTCTGAGATGAGGTATTATGTATACTATTTACATTATTCGGACTATTGTCCTCATCTTTGTCGCCATATTTATCACAACGTTTCGGCCGTTGTACGCTTTGGTCTCCTTCAGGTGGTTGGAATGTCGAACTGAACTCTTTATTTCGTTCACTGGGGTAGACTGTTCTAGTTCCACATGCCATGTTTAAAGGATGTCAGTTACCAGTTATCTCCTGTTAATTCCCCTCTCCAAGTTCTCCACTGCCTTAACTGGGTATTGAACTCATACAGATACATGGCACAATCGATAAAGGTGTTGGGTAGATCCAGTCAGACGACCCACAGTGTTGTTTTTTAAAAGGGAGGATGAATAGAGCATATTATAGGGTTATTTTGGAGAAAAATTGACGTCAGATGCACATTCGCTGGGTTTGAAACCAGGTTGGGTCTTTGAACAAGACAAGAAATTGTTCTGAACTATACGATAAGGTTAGGGCTTACGGCCGTGTCACGTTGTAACTCCGGTTTTCGTACGATCGCAGAAGTTAAGCAACCTCGAGCCTGGTCAGTACCTAGATGGGTGACTGTTTCGGAATAAAGGCTTGCATGTGCAGGTATTGGGCTTGCGGTCATATCACGTTTAAATACCGGTTCTCATACGATCGCCGGAGTTAAGCAACGTCGAGCCTTATCAGTCCTTAGATGGATGACCAGTTCGAGCTACCAGGTGCTGTAAGTTTGGATGTGCGCGTGGTGTAATGGATAACTGTTCAGAATTTGAAATCGGAGAACAGAGATCTAATTCCAGTCGAATTCGTTATATTCACATGCTGAAATACCTTTTAATTAGTAGAGCTTGTGTCCGTGAATCATGATAATCTAAAATAAATGATCTTCCTATCATCTAAAAATATTATGGCTTTAAATAAACGATAAAAGATTGATAAGCCCTAAAAACAAATCAATCATTCATTCAATCGATATCTTTAGAATCTTTACGTATCTAAAGTGAGTTAGTGAACCGCTTTACGGCACTGCCTCTCCTCCAAATTGCTCCTATAAATCTTCCACATCGATATTTGGACACACAATAGTTGTTATGGTCCAGGTCCTTGTACCACGGTGATAGTCCAAGGTAGAACCAATAAAGAAGAACTCGAACACGGATATGGAATAACACAGATATATTACAAACAGGAATATATACAGAGAAGTAGAAAGTGTTAATACGAACAATCAGGTTTAGTAGTAATTGTTTGAACCCGACTCTGTTTCGGACTGCCTCTGACTCGACTGACTGACTCGATCGCTCTGACTGACTGACAGACTCCTGACGGACTTCACTCCAGACTTCAGACTGAACGGTATTTAGACACCCCCCACGAGGGCATCATGTGGCACAAGGCCGGTTTAACGTGGGATCTCCGAGCCCGTGAGCTCGGCTAAAAATATGCCCTTTGAACCCGTATAAACGTGTTCAGGGTCGGTTTACCTCCCCGAAAGAGACTCCGCCCTTCGGCGTAGCCTCGTTCGGGTTCCTCCCCGCCCGAAGGCAGAGAGTTCAACCGGTCAGCCGGTCAGCCGGTCGCCCGACTTCGGACTGAACTCCCTGCTTCCTCTTGAGGCGCAGTTTTTATAATAGTCCATTATGGCACCCTGCTGGGGTCTGAGACAGAAACTTATCTGTCACTATGATTACCATTAATTATTTTGGGGTTGGTTCACTCATGTCAAAAGCTGTATTAGGCGGTTCAGGGTGTTCCATTCCTCTATTCTCTCCGAGAAATTCGTCTGTCATGAGCACAGGGCATATATATTGAAAAAAGGAATTCATATCTTTATACGTACACTCAAGATTACCATTTCTTTTGGCACCACGTAATCGCCTCACAAAACCAAAAGGGTTTAAAATAAACACTGCTATTTTCTGAATCCTCTTTTTCGCACGCCTTTGGTGACATTCTACTTTGCGAATATTCTTGTTTCTCAAAGTGTCTTAGAGTTCTTAAAGTGATGGTCTGTCTTCCTCGTTTACCCTTTAATATTGTTTCCTTAGCGATGGAAGATCAGGTTCTAGCTACTGAAACTTAATTTCCTGTCAGTTCATTTTGCAAGTTTTTTTTGTGCTCCTGTTGAACAAAGCAACCTTCCTTACACGTCTCTTTCAATCTCGTATATATGAGCGAACCTGTCTTGGTATCTTAGTTCTCGGGTCGGTATAATGTTTCTGCCCCAAAGAGGAATTCTATTGCCTTGACTTCTGGGTAGACGGGGCATATACACTCGGGATATCACGTCTGTAGTTTCTATTTTGGATTATTTTGTCCCTCCATGGAAAGTGATGGAGGTAGTCGCTTTCTAATTTTTAGCGTTATCCACCAGATAGTCAGAGATTCGAACCTTTGAGTAGCTTCAAAAGAGGCTATCTTACCAGCAGGTATATAATATCGGGGCTCTTATACTGCTATTACGTGAATGGGTTCTAGGCCATGCGGTAGTCTTTGGTGGGGCCTCTCGGTGCCGTAATCTTACTTATTATTATTGTGTGTGTGTGTGTGTGTGTGTGTGTGTGTGTGTGTGTGTGTGTGTGTTCGTTTATATATTGGATCGGATTTCCTACATTTTAACTGATTTCAAATAAAACTTCACAGGACTGCGTAAAATTACCTTGCGGTGGTTCTAATAGCGCAAAAATTGACAAACACAATTGTTTTTGCACGAAATCAATTTGAAAACACGATTAAGAGGCATCACGAGAATGAAAGGGGGACAACTCATATCGAGTTATACTTATTATAAAACCCAGGTTTGTTGTGTGTGTGTGTGTGTGTGTGTGTGTGTGTGTGTGTGTGTGTGTGTGTGTGTGTTCGTTTATATATGGGATCGGATTTCTACATTTTTCAACCGATTTCAACAAAACTTCACTTTTTTTTGGCAGGTAGTGTTTTTATTGTCTTGCACACTTTTTCTTTTATTTTTACATTCAGAATGCTTTAAAAATTCCATTTACAAGACAATTGTTTATAATAAAATTCTATTCATAACGATTGAAAACAATGTTTTTGTTTGAGTTTGGGTTTGACCAATTCGTAAATAAAAAAAACAAAACAAAAAAAACTAATTAAGACATCTGTGTCCGTCAACTTTAAACAATAATCTTTGTCAATTTTATTTTTCAGTCTTTATGATGGTCGATACTTGATCTATCTTTTACTGTTACATTCCCGGGCAACGCCGGGCTCTCCTGCTAGTAAAGGATATTATTACGGCTCTATCTCCAAATGAATCAATCCAGGTTATTTATGCACGCGTTTCCTGTGGATGTGTCTACCTCACTAGCTACTAGTCTTCATTCAAACAAAATACAATAGAAACATGAAATTTAATTTAAATTAGTCAATCCAACCTCAAAAAATGTACACCTCAGGTATATCATCTTCTAGAGCAATGTGTGTGTGTGGGGGGTCTGCGTTTCAACTTTCCAGAAGTATAACTCCATCTACATGAGTCCAAAGCCAACCTCCTGTTTCTGTCTGAAACGGGTATCAATGCGGGAGGTAGCAACCCCGGGCTACTCACCCTTAATAACCAAACACGATCACTTAAATCACCACAGCCACGGGCTCGGTTCCTACATTAAGGGCAGGTTCCCCTGCGGCAGGACGCATAAGACGAGGACCCTAATCTCCTTATTTGCTTATCCATAGTACCCCATTCGTTTTCGCTCTCTATTTTCCTCAGGACGATGAGACAGTAATTTTGGATGGAATATTTGAGAGGATTGATAATATCCTCACTGAATTTCAACCAGCTCGCTTTCATATCTGTGACGACTTCAATATTCACCAACAAGAGTGGTTAGTCCACTAGAACAAAACTGATGAAGAAGGCAGACATTGCAGAGACTTCCCCATCGATAATAAACGAGCCGAGATCATCGAAGAAGCCACCCGTGTCCCTAAAGCGACGGAACATCAGGCGATCTTCTACCTTTTCCACACCCTGCCGTGGTAAATGATTAGCAAACGGTTTACCCTCCCTCACACCCCTTGTGTACGTCAGACTATTCCCTAGTTAGTGCCCAAACTGAGGCCAACCCAAAGTCAGTCAGTAACGTGCCACGCATGATACACGCTTAGACGATCATGTGTCTTTTGATACATGACTAATGAGGCAGATTATTTCCAGTAGTAGGTTGCCATTTATTTCTGCGGTAGACCAGTTGCCATCTAAGGCTATAGAACACGCTCTACCCTGCTATTTGCTAGATGGGGAGAGAAGGAAAGGATTCATACCTTTTCCAAGGGTATTAGCATGTAAGTGAATGTAATGGATTCGACTGGAATCCGGATCTCCTCAATCCGAGCCGCTACCCACTACTTCACCGTGTCTCCCGCTAACCCAAACCTATCCCTTAATTTGCCGTTCCATAGAACGTTTTTTCGCTACACGAAGGCCGACTGTGGGAGTTTTAGACCTTATATGGCAGAAACTCCTCTCTCAACCTTCTTCAAGTATGCAGCCTCCAAAACTGTTTCCCTTCATCTCAGAATAGATCCTTTTTGGAATAGAGAATTTTATACCCCCACTAAAATTCCAACAAATGCCAAACAGCCAGGCTTGTTTCGCCTCGGAATGCTCTGTAGTCATAGCTCACCGTAAATACTTCAATAGCGATCGTAAGCAGTAGTTTAATTTGTTCCTTACTGCATTCAGAGCCGCCTAAAATTGTTACAAGAAAGTTCTGGAAAATACAAACTGAAACTATGCACAAGCGGTCCAGGCTAAGATTGAAAACAACAAATTGGATCCCGAGTGTTCTGGAAGATCACCAACCAAATTAGGAATAGAAGCAAAGCGGATGTGCCCAATATTATAAATGGCTCTGTGTCATATCTTTCTCGACAGATAAGGTACTGGATACCCCGTTCTTGACGCATTGAGCACAATCTCAGTAGTATTTTTATCACTGCTCGAGAAGTACCAAGATTTATCAAAAGCCTTGACCATATGAAATCCACAGTCCGAAATAAAATCACAGTTGTTGTCCTTAAGAATATCAACCCAGAACTAGATTCGATCTCAGTGAAGTTTTTTAACCTCAGCTTCAAGAAGAAATCTTCCATAAGGCTGTAGAATGTCAAGCTCGGTGTTCAACAATGTGGGTAAGCGCTCACACCCCCTCTCTATAAACTCATCACTTCCCTTGGTGTCATTATTAAGCTTTTCTATAATCAACAAGGAGGTTGTTGAGCACTTTCATAAGTCCTCCGGCCAGTCCTCCTGGGCCCCAGCAAACAATGCAGGCGCTCACCAGGGATTACTTCTCAGGCCAACCATCTTTTTACTTGGATGAAATGACTAAGTATACTCAGATAATTTGTAAATATCTATGCCAATTATACAACGGTGCACCTCCAAAACCTATGATGATCAGAGTTTTGGAACTTGTCTCTCGTTTGATATAGTTTTAGCATTTCAGTGAGAGGAACACGGGCTGAAGGTGAATGGATGCCCTCTCAGAGATGCCCCGTGCCCTGAGTGACTAATTGGACTTAAACTCACCGTAGACCTCAAGTAAAATTCTTACTTACCATCGCTAAACATACAAGAAAGATGATCAGTTCCCTGCAGTAAGTACCTGACTTCTCGTGCTATCCTCTACCTGCACAAGAGCCAGATCACGATGAAAATAGAGGACTGCTATCATATTTGAGCAAAGGCCAACCAGTCCTC